ACCGCAGTGGACTGCTGATCTTCTTGGTCAGCAGTCCACCGCAGCATTGCTACCATCTTTGTCAGCAGTCCACCGCAACATCGATACCATCTTGGTCAGCAGTCCACCGCAACATTGCTACCATCTTGGTCAGCAGTCCGGCGCAGCATTGCTACCATCTTGGTCAGCAGTCCGGCGCAACATTGCTATCACCTTGGTCAGCAGTCCACCGCAGCATTGCTACCATCTTGGTCAGCAGTCCGGCGCAACATTGCTATCACCTTGGTCAGCAGTCCTCCGCAGCATTGCTACCATCTTGGTCAGCAGTCCGGCGCAACATTGCTATCACCTTGGTCAGCAGTCCACCGCAGCATTGCTACCATCTTGGTCAGCAGTCCGGCGCAACATTGCTATCACCTTGGTCAGCAGTCCTCCGCAGAATTGCTACCATCTTGGTGAGCAGTCCGGCGCAACATTGCATTTGTGTAATATTTATTGTTTTGAAGGCTACTAGGACTTTACAGCAAGAAAGCATAAGCGTGCCTAACGGAATTGGAGAGGAGACAGACTTGGCTGTGCCCTAAAAGAAACACAAATAAAACGGATAAATAAGCATCGAATTTATCAGGACACTAAGATAATAGTATTGCAGTTATCCGTATACACGAATTACATTCCACGATCCCAAACGTACTTGGGAATAGAGCTCTGCAGCCTAATAGAAGTCAGCCTTGCAGCTAGGGACGCATGAGAAGAAGTCTTCGAGGTTGGCTAGGCTAGGCTTTACGAAGGGCGCTATGCTTCGCAGTAGTGAGGATACAAATCTGATATGCAATTTAGTTCTCCATAATGTAAAAACGGTAACTTCTATCTAAATACCTGGTGAAATAAATTACAAAAAGTATTAGTTAATCTATTTTTCCCTAAAAAATAATCGATGCGTACCATAAAATTCTTTCCTCTCTTCACATGTGCACTGAAATTAATTACATTGATCAACATACAACTTCCCTGGAAATCTGCAGTGACGTCTTGTACGACTGCTTGGAATGCGAAAAGTTAAAGAGACATTAATAATTTAATTAGGTGTGTCTGCTCTCATCTTCTGCAGTTTGTACGATAGAATAATTTCGAAACATTGTCATGACAAAGAGGAGACCACATTTAATAAAATTGTGAAATTGCAATTAAGAAATCATTACTCCACTCAAACAAAGTTGACCGGACCTAACCTTCCCTCATTGGCTGCGTGAATGTGGGAAGAAAGGCGGGGTGTGAGTACGTTAACCCAAATCGCCTCGGGTTTTCGTGTCACGCTACAACCTCGGCTGCAAATGATTTCAGCCCTTCATTCTGTCCAGTACTTTTTAGGTTCTTTCCATCAAAAATATTCAGCGATTATTTTAACAAGCATTAATATAGATTGTTACATATCTCTTCAAACTCACAATTGTGAATTCAGATTCATTTTTAAAAATTCTGAGAATGAAACGACCGAATTTCTGGTCTCAAGCAGAGCCATTTCCGTGTACGACAACTCCGAGTCTCCGACCGCTCGATATTTTAGTGATGCTACCGGTGGTGAGGAGGCTGTAAGTCATTCACGTGTGAGTGTGCCTGAAAACATGTGCATCTTTATCGCAGGAGCATGTGCATCTTTATCACTGGTGTATCTTCATCGCTGGATTCTTCATCAGTTTATTTGTTCCACTAGTTTAATCTGCAGACCACAATGTCTGTGTGATCATTTGATCTCACTGGCTGCATCCACAGCTAGTGAAATAGCCCGCCATTGCAAAAACTGCATGAAATGAGAGATTTGAGCGAAGCAGAAAGCTCGACACCCCCCCTCTCCCTCTCCCTGGTGTAAGTTTGACAACGGCCAGCTCGCTGCGCCGCGCGGAGCTGCTCACTAGGTTGTGAACATTTTGAAGTAATTTACTAATTGACCTACCTAATTATCATAGATAAGGATGGCTAAAAATTATTGATCCGACACCAAGAATAGATCACAGGGGAAGAGTATCTCGACAGACAAGGCTGTGAGAATCGCGGTTATTTTTTAACGATGGTTATTAGAAATGAAGGGAGATTTCCCACAAACCCGTGCAAATTAAGGTCAAGTCAGAAGAGTTTTGGCCGGAGCATCGAGGCTTTATAACGTACTGCAAGCTTATGAGTAAGATTAAGCATCGGCTGCAAACTCTTAATTAACTTCAAGCATTGCGCTCTGGTGTAGATTACTATGTCTGCGACTGCTATCTCTCAGGCTGAATGTAGTTATTGCATGCTGAGGTTGGGCCTTGGCTCAAGGGCTATTATACGATATTAATGTGTGGCCTATGGCTGCGCAGTTAGTTATTATTTCTATTAGTATTTTAGGAAGCAGTTATCGTAGCGTATGGTTCAAACGAACTTCGTGGGCACTTTACACACAACTTTAATATTAAAACGAAAAATAAATAGACGCGAGAAGGGATGAGAACAGATAAAAATAACTAAGAACTTGATTCCTTGGCTCTACGATATAGTTCCGTCTTTAGGCGTCGACGAAACACCTGCAACAAAGGAGCCGATGGTACGGAAGTAGGCAGACTGTCCCATGCAGGTTCTGACGGCGGTGACCGGGAACACTGTCGCCGACGGTAGATAGACGTGTAGATGGAACGACGAGGTCCGCTGTTGATGACGAACGCAGTCGTCTTCTAGAGGACAGATCCGACACGTGCTACACACATTCCGAGAGATAAGGAGGCGCCAGACCGTGAAGGCATCGGAACGTCAGAACAGCGACCTTGAACTGCGTGCGCTGCTTTTTGCGCAGCCAGTAAAAATCGCGTAATATAGGCGTCACGCAGTCTTGTTTTTGCTTTGGCTATGTTATTGTTCATACAAAGTTTCCAGTCCAGCAGATTGCCGAGGTTGCGAGCCGAAAACGAAGGCATGACGACGTCGCCCACGCGAATAGGGTTGGCCCGAAGCTGATGCTGGCGCCGAGAAATCGCAAACCAAATGAAGTAGCAAGTAGGTATTTGATGTATTGAGCTGGAGCCAGTTGGAGTGCATTCAGCCTGAGACGTCGTCCATGCAGACAGGCAGACAGGTCCTGCAACGCTGCAGCGTCAGCCGGTGCGCAGTAGCCATAAATTTGGGTGTCGTCGGCGAACATATGCGGATTCAAACTGGGTGAATCAATTATTTGCAACAAGTCGGCAGTATATAACAGGAAAAGGATGAGGCCCAGGACTGATCAGTGAACCCTGTGATACGCCGCAAGTGACCAACGATGGCGTAGAAGGAGAGTTTCCGCGTAGCACGCATTGGAATCTATGGCTGGAATAGGACTCGAACCACCGCAGCACTGTGCTGCGCAGGCCGAATGATACGTCAAGTCGACGCAGTAAAGTGGCGTAGTCTACCGTATCAAATGCGGCCGACAGGTCGTGTAAAGCCGCGTGCCGCAATGTCACCACGGTCTACAGTTCGCAGAAAATTTGAAAGCACCTTCTGCTCAGCGGTTTCTGTCGAGTGGAGATGACGGTATGCAGACTGGAGGCGAGGCATGAGACCAGACTGTTAGTTACTCCCCAGCTGATCTGCTTTCGAATAATTATCTCGCATTGCGACCTTTTCCTATCGAAGGTGCTGTTGAAATTCGCCTCCTCTGTAAATCTTAATAGTTTTTGGATGTCGCCATGGCCGTGACTGAATAAAGTATGAGTCCAATTCCATAAATAAATCACTTTAAATATCCCTGTTGTTTTCAAAGGAACATTTGCGTTGTTTTCTTAACAACTAATCAAGTATATTTGTTTTGGTGGTTGACTTCCAGCAGCCTTTGATGGTCATCTTGTTACACCGAATTCGAGCAGTGAAAGTCCAGGCATACTTTATATCAGCCTTTCGACATTTCAAAACGAATGACTGCGACCTGCGATATAAACCTCACTGCTGATGTAAACCTTACTACTGATATAAAACTTACTACTGACACAACCCCTACTACTTGATGTGTAGTTAGGTCATCTTGAAATAATCTAGTGTAGTTGCATTATGCTCCGTTATTAGCTCCTTGGCTTGAGCTGGGCTAGTTAAGCTAGGCGCCCACGGCTTGAAATATATTATACCGCTATTGTGATGAAAATCGTTACCGTTTAACTCGATTGATTATCCTGAAAGAACTCTAATCTTTAAACATAAATTATCTAGCATTTGAAAGTTGATGTGTTTTTAGGAATAAAAATTTATAGTAATTTCGCTCATTTCCATTCAACGGCGACCAAATGGAGGTCAAAACTAGTGAGGGTTGACATGAAGTAGTTGAACGCAGATGATTTTAATTATTGTTTCCATGTGGGAAAAAGGATTTGACCGCGTCTATAGTCAAAACTGTCCAAAATGAAGTTGGATTTCCACCAAACCCCAGGAATATGATAGGTTTAGTGGCGTATTGACTAAAAATTTCCTGCTTGTGGATTCAGTCGTTCCTGAATGGGTAAATTAACCGATAAATGACCCGAATAAACTTGGATATTAACCAAACTCGAGGAATGTTATCAATTTCGTGAGTGCGTAGTGACTTAAAATTTAAGGTTCGTGAGTTTAGTCGTGTCCGAATTGGGTTATTAACTGGTAACTGTCGCAGGTGAACTTTAATCTCCGTCAAACTATAGATATATGAGACTTTATCACTTCGCACAGACTGTAAAATGAGATAAAACACAGATTTAGTCATTTCTAAATTTTGTCTCCAAAAAACTCAAGGAATGTTTTAATTTCGTAACCACGCAGTAACTGTTAAAATATCAGATATGTAGGTATTTACTGACTTAAAAAAAAAGCCAGAAATGTCCCAATTCAAGTCGGATGTCCACAAATTTCGAGAATTTTTTTTTTTTGCAAATGTGCAGAGACTGACAATTTCAGTTAAGTGGATTTAGTTGAAACTCAATATTTAAGTTTACTCCACACAGTTATCACATGACTTCATGTGAATAAAGTAGGAAAATGAAGTACCAAAATGCATTAATAGATTATTTATTCTTGCCTTAGGGTGTGCACATAAAATTTATAGCCATCGAAACTGTGAACTGAAGCATCAAGGAAATAATTTTGCTGGCCAGAAGCCGACCTTAGCGTTACTCCTGAGATACAACACTAGGAATAACGCATCGAAGCCCCGACCACCTGAGCGGACGTGAGTTCGTGTCCTAAGTAAAGGTTTTGAATAGAATGAAGTGTTAAAAAAGATCCTGATCGTTAAATTTTAGTACTGAGAATGGCCCATATTTATAAACCCAGCAACGCCTTGTGGACAAACAGCTCCTCAATCAGAATTAGTGACAGGTTCAATAATCTCCTCAGTTGTTGTCGTGGTTTCAGTTGTTGTCGTGGCTTCAGTTGTTGTCGTGGCTTCAGTTGTCGTGGCTTCAGTTGTTGTCGGGACTGTAGTCGTTGTTGCAACGGTTGTTGTAGCGCCTACAGGAGGTATGTCACGCACGCAGGTCACAGAGCAACGGAACAAATAGAAGGAGTAGAGCCTCGCCCAGTTGGTTGTTGTTGATAGCGATTTCTTCGCGGTGCAAGTGCTGATTCAGATAAAAAACAGGAATCACTGCCTTGTATTTAAGTGCCTCCACGAGACGCAGTTGTTCCTTCAGCATACCCATTCCATGATTTTCATTTGCCTCTCGTATATTTTTCATTTGCCTCTCGTATATTTTAGAGTGCATAATGCTCTAAATACTAAAATAATATATACTCTTAATTGAAACAATATATAATACTCAAATTAATTTGACCAGTTTACAATGAGTGGACTTTGCCCATAAATAAATTTAAAAATTGACGCCACCGTGGTCACATGCCAATGATGCCATCAGCTTGGTCCAGCGTGAAATCTACCGGCATAGACTGATGCATCAAGATACAAATAAATCACTGGCAGATATTTCAACACTTTTTGTGGTTACCTTAAAATTCTGTTGTTGAAGCAGGGATACGTGAAGGAACAGGTGATGTCCAAAGTATTCGCCGGATTGTCGTTGCAAAGAGCTCTAACGCACCTGTGCAAGTTAAAATATTTGAAATTAAGACACGTTATAGGTACACAATTTTAGGGGAAATTAATCAACAGAAGCGACCTGCAATTTTTCGCATCAGATTTCCATGTCATTCCTACAACTAAAGTCCTTGAAAAAAAACGTACTAGTCCTTGGTATCTTATTGGTAACTAAGGGTTACTTTCGTGTTATTTCTGACCGATAAATTTGCCTGCAATACGAATTCCTATTAAAAATTCAATCTCTTAGTAATATCAGTATAGTTGCGTGAATAGATTCCACGTTTTTCGAAGTCGCCAAGAAGCACATCTCCAAATTCATTGAGCGTTAACTGGACGAATTGTTAGTGACGACAAAAAATAATATTAAATTTCATCTCTTATATTAGTCTGTCATCGATTTATGAACTGAATCTTAGATCTTAGATCTGAAGTCTTATTGACAATTCATAATTGATAAGCAAAATTGGATAACTTTAGTTAATAATACTTCAAAATGTTAAAAGCTGTTTACTAACTTTAGCGATTGACTGCTGACTGAGATGGTTTGTCCACTGGTAATCTTAACGTCTCTGCAGGAGGAGTAATACTGAGGAAGAACTACCCTGAACCATTCGTACTGGCCTGACGCTGCTGCCACGAAGGCGCAGAGCAATAATGCCACTGCAAACTTCATCTGGAAGGGCACAAATAGAGAAATTATTGTTATCATTGCTCGGGATTTCTTATGTTTATCATCCTGTTCTGAAAAGCTTAAACGGTATCTATTCAATATATTCAGAGTTTTCTTGCATCCTCAACATAAAATTAAAATTTAAGCATTTATAAGTTTTGGCTTGAGTAAGAGACTAGAACCATTACTGGTCTTGAGTACGTGGGAAACTGCGAGGATCTTCAGGTGAGAAGAAACGAATTGTCTGTGATCGAGGTGAGGATGGCATCCTTCTTATACTCTGAGAGGTCTTTTGGACCGACCTTCGACGAGTGTTGCGCTGACAGCTGACAAATTCCACCCGTGCACATGTGTTCGTCAAGTGGAGCGGAAGAGGCTAATGAAGTATCGTTTTATGTCATCCATGTTCTTAGTTCATTGCATCATCTACGAGTGTCTTGAAGAAAGGCATTCAACCCTAGTTTGAATTATGTGTTCATGTATTCTCAAGACAGCAGCGGACGTAATCGACATGTCTTCTTATGTGTGTTTGTTGATTCAACGGATTTAAAATTCTACATTTTTATCTATCCGACATGTACATACCGTTTTCTCAATAAAATTTTATTCACAGCCGCAGATTTAGTAATGTACCCTAATTTTAAGAATGTATGCATTTCTTGAAAGATTGTTATTACGGCAAAATTTGCTGAGTTGAATTTCTTAAAACACTCCATCTCATCACAGTTGCTCGTGCTATCAAACTAAACTGCAAGGAATTCCTGGGAGAAATGTGAGTAAACCGCAGAGATACAGTGCTTGACGAAGTTAGGATGGCTCAAGTACCGTTGTCTGACATCGGAAAGTGCAGAATTAAATGATAAGCCACTGATTCGTAAATGGAGCGACAATGAGTAATAATGACCCACCTGGTGAGTGGTGACCACGTAGCAGCAATAGTGTCAAGAGGTAGATAGTAGATGAAGTGGGTTGGCTGACGTTTCGAACAAGAGAAGTGTTCTCTAGTACTGCTGCCAACCGTGAGCGCCATTCACATTGGATGCAGTGAATGATACACATATGGCCTCGGGGCAATCTTTTAACATTATCAGAGAATTTTAATCATCATACTGCTCAAAGTATGCACCAACAAAGGCAAAAAGACACTCAAGGGAGCCATTGAGAAAAAATGTTCGCATCGGAACCATCGTAGCAAGAGGTCGGGGGACTGCAGGACGGGACGACTGAAGTAGCCCAGCATTGCCCAATACCAGCATAATTTTCATACTTCTCCCCGTGCGCAAGCATGCTGCAGAGCAAATTAGCCAACATGATTACTTGCTGAAAGCCACAGGGACTAAATCCCTTCATGGAGGTAAACCAGCGAGCCAATGAGCTGCAGGCCGCCAAAACAATGGTCGTAACCCACACGCTAAACCCCAAAATATTTCTATTCCATGCAGCCTAGCCCCTTCACCACTTTCGGTAAAGAACGCCCTGCGCCACAGTGCTATCAGTACACTGCTACCTCTCCAGCCTGTCCGTTCTTCTGGAGGCTATTCCCCTGCCTGTCCGTTCTTCTGGAGGCTAAACCTCCACGCTTACCCCTTGCTCCCCCTCCTTTCGGTACCAGCTTGCGGAAGAATTCTAACCAAACCTAACCTAACCTAACCCTTTCGCGGAAAGGTGGAGAGAAGGGGGTAAGTGTGGAGGAAGAAGATGCTGGTGAGCGTCAGGGCTGGGCTTACGCCTGCGAAGTGGGTAAGGTGATGCGACAGTCCGGTGCGGGGCCGTTCCCATTTACGGCAATCTGGTGCGGTCTGCGGACCCTGTGGCTTACGGCATTTGTAAGAAGTGATGGTATGGGCTTAAATCATTGGTGTAGGAGCTATTGGGCGTAATCCGTTTGGAGATATCAGCTTGTGGGCTGAGGCATTGCTTGTTTCAAGCTGGTGTGGCGAGATGAGGCAAGTAAGAACAGCTGCATATCCTCACTAATAGGTGTTATGCTGACTATTTCTATTGCATGTAGAGAGTTGGCATTGGCTCTTGGGCTGATTTAAGAGTCAAATTTTTGGGCTACGGCAGCGCTCCCTGCAGGACACCAACACCCACTACGCAAAAGTGCTGAGGTCAAAGTTATACCGCTGTGGTGAAGAGCCCATTACATGACGAAACAGGCTATTCTTGTTGATAACATTATCAATGAGAATGGGTGGAGTTCACCCAAGAAACCACCCAGAGATTACTGGATGGATGGACGTACGTGTTCCTGAGCACATTATCTGTGCTCCAGAACAATTCAAATAGGAAATGGGACAATCTGCTGTCTGCCAGCGGCTGTGGGACGGCAGAGGATGAAAGCAGCGCTGCAAGGCTGCAACGTCCAAAATACTAACAAAAGCGATTATGCCAAAAAGCGCTCGAGTGTTCAAAACCTAGACCTTCAAGGGGCTACTGCCTACTGGATGTTATGCTAAGCGCGTTCCCTGCTCGTTCGTCTATACTCCACTACTATTGCCAAGGACAAAGGAGCCACACCTCCCATGCACCGGCTCCTCCAACTGAGAGCAGATCCACGTTAGTTATGTTCTTAGACTCCTGCGTCTCGAAATAATTTTCTCGAAATGAACCGGGGCAGACGAAACGAGACGAGAAAATTCCAGGAAAAAAATAACGGGACAGAGGGTAAAATTTGTCCCGGAATAAACGTATGAACCGAGACAAGACTTCTGTCCCGGACTTTAAAACTTGTGTCCCGGTAAATTATGAACCGGGACGAGACAGACAGATTTGAAACGAGACGAGACGAGATTTGTCTTAATTATTTAAGACAAAACAAGTTTTTCGATTACGATACGAATCATTTCGAAAACATGGGTTGAAGAATGACAAGTTAGCCCTTTATTACTAATAGGGCCATAGACAGTTACCAGTTAAATTGAGTTAATTGCAGATTTAGCAAAATTTGTCCGACTAACTGACAAAGCAGTTAATTAGTTGTCCGACAAACACCGCAAAACCTGTCGATGTATGCATGGCTGAGTATTGAGTCAAAAATGTTACTCTTAAGTCTTAACTAAGGCTTCGATGGCACTTATGGGAACCGTACGAATATAAATCGAGTTTATTACGCGTTCGGAACGAGTTCAGGCGCCGTGGAGCGCATAGGGAGTAGGGACGCAGTGTCTAGATTAGTCGGCCAATTAGTAGACAGTGGAGTGGAGTCCTGGTAAGATATTCCTAATAATACTAAAACTAGTATTAGATTATCTATGCCTTTAGTCAAATTTTGTGCTACGCCTCCAGGAAATCATCACAATTGCGCAGTTTCCTGTTTTGTTATAAAACACTTGGGCTTGTTTAACGTTATTTCGAAAGGATACACGTGGATATTTCGAGTTCTTGTTTGAAGATCAAACTATTATATTTTTTCCAACTTAAATTTTGTTGTATTTTAAAATGTTGTTGATATTTCTTTCCAAACTTTTTTGTGGAAGGAGATTGCTTAAGGCAAGATCGATGAATCTGATTCTGTGATTGAGCTGGAGGCAGATCAAAGTCTGTCCAGTCAGCCGATGTCACCAGTTACAGCTAGTATGGCCTTCTCCAAACCATCATAGAACATAATTTTTGAAAAAAAACGTGTTTTTCCATTTTATTTGCCTGTCAAGATTAAGTACCATATTAAACCACAACATGTACTCGTAGCAAAAATCATTTCAATTGCCGAGCTCCAATCAGAATAGTAAAAGGATACGTCTCAAGTTATTATATATTGTAAATGCAAAGGTGGGCAGTAGCGCGCTACATGTAGCGGCCGCTACATTTTCAGTAGCGGCGCTACATTTAAGCAATTGTAGCTAAATGTAGCAGTAGCGGTAGCGCCCGCTACATATTTAAGTAGCGATACGAGGTTTTACCGCTACAGCGCTACCGCTACATTTATAGATTAAGCCTTTAGATTTTACTTAATAGTATTAAGTATTATTGAAAAACCAGCATGATACATACGTAATATAAATTACAGAATAAAACTGTACGAAAGATTCCGGTGTAATGTTGTCAGCCTCAGCCTGTTACTAGTGTCAACATTTTAGTTGTTGGCCAGAGGTGGGCAGTAGCGCGCTACATGTAGAGGCCGCTACATTTTCGGTAGCGGTAGCGGCGCTACATTAAAGCAATTGTAGCGGTAGCGCCCACTACATTTAGAGTATGTAGCGGTAGCGGCCGCTACATTTCAAAGTAGCGCTGCACAGCTCTGTATAAATGCATGATGGTAAGCCAAAGTTTACACCACATCAATAATTGATTAGTCTCGTTATGTCTCGTTAAATGGCAAAAAATCCGGGAAATTTTAAGGTACCTATTTTAACCGGGATGTCTCGTCTCGACGCGGTATCATCCCGGAATTTCTACGGAGGGCTGAAAATTGTCCCGGTTTTTATTGCGAACCGGGACAGAGCCTGTTGTCTCGTCTCGTCTCGGATAAAAAAAATACCAAACGCAGGAGTCTATTAACGTTCTATACTCCCCAACGGCGCTCTCTTGACGTGGTATACTTACGAACCATAAAATGGGTACATCGACGTGTCCTTTTATTATTTGTGCTTTTGAGATAAAATAGGTTGTTGACCTCAACCTCAACTATTGTACGAGGTTTAAAAGCGAACAATTACCATCACTGATGATTTTAGAGTATTTTATCTTTTACGGATGAAAGTCGTGATGAGGTGCCTAATAAAAATTGGCGAAATTTATATATACACATGGAATAGTCTTGATGTTTGTGAGTTTTCAATAGAGACTGACGCTGTGACAATATTTGCGTTGTTTGGCCTCTCTGATGCGGTTTCTAGATAAAGTCTTGACAGAGGTTATATATTCTGCCAGCTCGGACAGAATGTTTCATGTATCTTTTCATAGACTGAACTCATTGTAAAAAGGTGGGTCGAATGAGTATTATATTAAAAAATAGTCAAAATTACATTTTTTTTTCTATTGATGTTTTTTGAAGATATAATCAATATTGGGTGTAACTATTTAATCAACCGTTGGTACCTTTTGTATTAAAGGATGAATTCTTTAAAATTAATATGCGGTTAAAAATAAAATGTTCAGCCGTACATGGCATTTACCTTTATCCTTGTATGGAAGTGTGGTCGCATACACAACTCGAATAGGACGAAGTCTCAATTCGTACGTTTTCGTTGATAATTACTTTTTTATTCCCCTTTCAAATCCAATAGAAATATTAAAATATACTTTTGACCAACAAGCTGCAGGTATCAATATCTCATGGTGGTGATGGTGACAGCCATGTTCTTACTGACAGCCTAAACATCCATGCGTTTCTTCATTTTCATACCTTGCCCTCAAAGTGCATACGTTTTTATTAATATGCAAGTGCTTAATCAAGGAAGAAGCATAAAAATTATTTAACATTTCTATCGAATGATGACATTTCTAACAATGAGGGCGACATTCACGTAAATCGAGAGTTATCATTACCGCTTTATTGTACCGCTGCAAAACGACTTTGTTTTCTACTTGGCGTGAACTTGAAAAGCAAATAGAAATTTTGTGGAATAAATTCCTCGTTCGAAACATTCTGTCGAGAACTACTCTAATGAATTGAAGCTGATTCTCAACCTAGCATGTCAGTCTGAATAATCTAATTCCAATATAGAATGTGAACAATATTACGTGTTATTCAGCAGGTACTAAGGATATTTCATAAGTGTTCCTTCATATGAAGTAAGCTACTAATGCTGGATTCAAAATTAAAATGTCTTATCACCAAGTACACATTATATATAGAAGCCGTCACAGTTCATGTAAAAATGTCAACTGAGGCATGGCGATTCCGCTGCTGTCGCGAGAACACATAATTCAAACTAGTGATGAATGCCTCTCTTCAAGACACTCGTAGATGATGCAATGAACTGAGAACATGGATGACATAAAACGATACTTCATGGGCCTCTTCCGCTCCACTTGACGAACACATGTGCACGGGTGGAATTTGTCAGCTGTCGACGCAACACTCGCCGAAGGTCGGTCCAAAAGACCTCTCAGAGTATAAGAAGGATGCCATCCTCACCTCGATCACAGACAATTCGTCTCTTCTCACCTGAAGATCCTCGCAGTTTCCCACGTACTCAAGGCCAGTAATGGTTCTAGTCTCTTACTCAAGCCAAAACTTATAAATGCTTAAATTTTAATTTTATGTTGAGGATGCAAGAAAACTGTGAATATATTGAATAGATACCGCTTAAGCTTTTTAAAACAGGACGATAAACATAAGAAATCCCGAGCAATGATGACAATAATTTCTCTATTTCGTGCCCTTTCAGATGAAGTTTGCAGTGGCATTATTGCTCTGCGCCTTCGTGGCAGCAGCGTCAGGCCAGTACGAATGGTTCAGGGAAATTCTTCCTCAGTATTACTCCTCCTGCAGAGACGTTAAGATTACCAGTGGACAAACCATCTCAGTCAGCAGTCAATCGCTAAAGTTAGTAAACAGCTTTTAACATTTTGAAGTATTATTAACTAAAGTTATCCAATTTTGCTTCTCAATTATGAATTGTCAATAAGACTTTATCTAAGATTCAGTTCATAAATCGATGACAGACTAAGATAAGAGATGAAATTTAATATTATTTTTTGTCGTCACTAACAATTCGTCCAGTTAACGCTCAATGAATTTGGAGATGTTGTGCTTCTTGGCGACTTCGAAAAACATGGAATCTATTCACGCAACTATACTGATGTTACTAAGAGATTGAATTTTTAATAGGAATTCGTATTGCAGGTAAATTTATCGGTCAGAAATAACATGAAAGTAACTCTTAGTTATCAATAAGATACCAAGGACTAGTACGTTTTGTTTCAAGGACTTTAGTTGTAGGAATGACATGGAAATCTGATGCGAAAAATTGCAGGTCGCTTCTGTTGATTAATTTCCCCTAAAATTGTGTACCTATAACGTGTCTTAATTTCAAATATTTTAACTTGCACAGGTGCGTTAGAGCTCTTTGCAACGACAATCCGGCGAATACTTTGGACATCACCTGTTCCTTCACGTATCCCTGCTTCAACAACAGAATTTTAAGGTAACCACAAAAAGTGTTGAAATATCTGCCAGTGATTTATTTGTATCTTGATGCATCAGTCTATGCCGGTAGATTTCACGCTGGACCAAGCTGATGGCATCATTGGCATGTGACCACGGTGGCGTCAATTTTTAAATTTATTTATGGGCAAAGTCCACTCATTGTAAACTGGTCAAATTAATTTGAGTATTATATATTGTTTCAATTAAGAGTATATATTATTTTAGTATTTAGAGCATTATGCACTCTAAAATATACGAGAGGCAAATGAAAAATATACGAGAGGCAAATGAAAATCATGGAATGGGTATGCTGAAGGAACAACTGCGTCTCGTGGAGGCACTTAAATACAAGGCAGTGATTCCTGTTTTTTATCTGAATCAGCACTTGCACCGCGAAGAAATCGCTGTNAGGTTTATATCAGCAGTGAGGTTTATATCAGCAGTAAGGTTTATATCAGCAGTGAGGTTTATATCAGCAGTGAGGTTTATATCAACAGTGAGGTTTATATCAACAGTAAGGTTTAAATCAATATAGTAGGAGTTGTATCAGTAGTACGGGTTGTATCTGTAGTAGTGGTTGCAGCTGTAGTAGGGGTTGCATCAGTAGCAGGGGTTGTATCAGTAGTAAGGGTTGTATCAGTAGTAGGGTGATATGATATATTATTTGATATATTATTATATCAAAATTCTAGGACAGCCATAAAACCTAAACAAGACCTAACATTATAACTAAAAAAAATATAACTCAGTACTCACTGCAGTGAGTGACAGAGAGCGCATTTTCTCGTCGACGAAAACGTGAAGTCACGCAGGGACAGACGGACGGACGGACGGATGGACATGGCGAGAACAATAGTGCATTTTTCCATAAATGAGAAAATGCGCTAAAAACCGGACTCGATTGGAACAAGTTAGTCCTAGGATACACGAAAAAAACATCAAAGCCTAGCGATTAACTATTTCCCGATTATATGAACTAAACGCATTATTGAGACACGGTTTTCGTTTGAAGATATGTAGAGACTCCTAAATTCTCAAATCCGAGCAGCCAGAAGTGGAACCGAGTATCCTGAAATCACTCTCAGATACAGCCACGTCGCACTGTTCAGCATGGAGGCGCACGGAAGAATGCATGAGGAGGCTTGGAGAGAGGCAAGTTAGAACGATAGCTCCTGTCACGGTGTTCAGAAACCAGGATGTAGAAGTTACGCGACGTCATTCCAACGTACGCAGATGCACAGCGTTCACAACTGAACTCATAGACCAGGTTTGATCGCATCCGAGCAGGAACGCTTCTTATCAAACAAATTTTCTGAAACTTTGACTGAATGTGATAGTAAGAAAACTATTTATTGCACACTGCCCTATTTTGGTAGTGCGTCTGAAACTATATCTAGAGAACTAAAGATATTGTTCATGAAATATTTCGCGAATATAAATTTGCATGTTTTACTGGTAAATAACTTCAAAATCGGTTCTTTCTTAAGGTATAAGGACGTTATTCCTGCTCGGATGCGATTAAACCTGGTCTATGAGTGCAGTTGTGCACGCTGTGCATCTGCGTACGTTGGAATGACGTCGCGTAACTTCTACATCCGGGTTTCTGAACACCGTGGCAGGAGCTATCGTTTTAACTTGCCTCTCGCCAAGCCTCCTCATTCTTCCGTGCGCCTCCATGCTGAACAGTGCGACGTGGCTGTAACTGAGAGTGATTTCAGGATACTCGGTTCCACTTCTGGCAGCTCGGATTTGAGAATATTGGAGTCTCTACATATCTTCAAACGAAAACCGTGTCTCAATAATACGTTTAGTTTATATAATCTAAAAATAGTAAATCGCTAGGCTTTTATGTTCTTTTCGTGTACCCTAGGACTAAGTTGTTCCAATCGAGTCCTGTTTTGCTTCGATATAATGTTAGGTCTTGTTCAGGTTTTATGTCTGTCTTAGAAATTTGATACAATCGAATCCTGTTTTTTTCGATATAATGTTAGGTCTTGTTTATGTTTTATGTCTGTCTTAGAATTTTGATTTAATAATATGATTTTATTCATTTTTAATTTTTCGAACTGATGATGGAGCTGGACTCCGAAACGTTTTCAATATCGATATGGTGAATTTGCTTGGTGTTTTTTTTTTGCTTTTAAATTCCTTGTAATAGGGGTGGTATCTGTAGTAGGGGTTGTATCTGTATAGTAGAGGTTGTATTTTTAGTAGAAGTTGCATCAGTAGCAGAGGTTGTATCCGTAGGAAGGGTTGTATCAGTAGTAGGGGTTTTATATGTAGAAAGGGTTGCATCAGTAGCAGAGGTTGTATCAGTAGTAAGGGTTGTATCTGTTGTAGGGGTTGTATTTGAAGTAGGGGTTGTATCTGTGGTAGAGGTTGTATTTGTAGTAGAGGTTGCATCAGTAGTAGGGGATGTATCAGTAGTAGGGGTTGTATCAGTAGTAAGGGTTGTATCTGTAGTAGAGGTTGTATCTGTAGTAGAGGTTGTATCTGTAGTAGAGGTTGTATCTGTATTAGAGGTTGTATTTGTAGTAGAGTAAAGGCTGCATCTGTAGTAGGGCAGGGGTTGTATCTGTAGTAGAGTTTGTATCTGTAGTAGAGGTTGTATCTGTAGTAAGGGTTGTATCTGTAGCAGGGGTTGTATCTGTATTAAGGGTTGTATGTGTAATAGGGGTTGAATCTGTACTCTGTAGTAGGGGTTGTATCTGTAGTAGGGGTTGTATCTGTAGTAGGGGTTGTATCTGCAGTAAGGGTTGTATGTGTAATAGGGGTTGTATCTGTACTCTGTAGTAGGAGTTGTATCTGTAGTAGGGGTTCCTCAGGAGCGGATGTTGTACAAGTACTTAGTAGGGATTTATATTCATATATCATCGATATAGGGTTTATTTATAATTCGTCAGGAGTGTCGTGATTATGCCACCCTACATCTGATTCCAGTGAATTTCGTACAAGCTTTTTTACATTTTTATGTAGCAAGCTTCTTCAGTGTAGGCAAGATTCGCATCTTGTATAAGTCGTACCGCAGCCGATGAGCTCTGGCTTAATTCAGGCCGTGACCAGAACTCTCGATAAATCGTTCAGCAAGTTGTAACGATATTATTTATTTTTCTTTGTGTGCCTTTTGATCACGGTTATCCTTATTGTTAAGAAAATCAGGTCAATCACTTCCAAGCTGCCAAGACAACACCGGCTGCTCAAGGACAGTCAGAGGAGATGGAGGACAAGTAATTAGTAGGAATGATGTCCGTAGATTAAGGCCTGTAAATAATGTAGGGAGTAACCGCATACATCAAAGTGAAAGTGCACAAAAAGTTTTAAAATGTTTTTACACGAACTCGGATTCCGTTTTGAACAAAAAAAGTGAACTGTTAACTGTGATCGCAAACGAGAGTATAGACATTATTTGTATTACAGAAACACTTCCTAAAAATCACGGGGGGAAAATTGTACCTGTTGAATTTCAGCTGCCAGGTTTTGATTGTTTTCATAACTT